CTCTCCTATACTCTCCGGTCCTTTTCATCTGGCCACATGATTGTCCACAGTCTCTCATTCCCTCCTCGCATAGTCTTTTCCATGTCATACTGGGACTCAGGACCAATTCATTGTTTCCCATTCTGGTTCTACTCGAGTTATGGCTAGCGTAGCGCGCGATATCAACCAACAGTCTCCAAAGCGTGTATTCGATCACTTCCAACTTTTTTCCGCATATTTGTAGAGCAATAGGCTGTTGATTGGTTTGTTCGAGCAGATTCTTGTTTCTAATTCATTCTGACTGGCCATTTGATTTTCAGTATGGAGCCAGGGAAGGCAGATGTTGGTTAGAGTCTGCAATAGTCTGTAGAGAATGTTTTCCATGACGCGCAGTACAAGCTTCTGACAAATATAGAAGAACTGACTGACTTAACGTTGGTGCGTCGGTGGCATAGGGATTAGGACGCCCACCGACCATGCACATGGTCCGGGTTTCGATCCCCGGACGACGCACTCCTTTACCTCGCTAAGCCAGAAATAATGCTGGTAAAGAGGAAAGGTTGGGCATGAGGCTAGCAAACCGTAACCTGTAAAAATAAACAGTGTTACAGAAACTTCAAGTCACTAGCTTGAAGCCCTATGTTCCACTGGCAACGTGAAGGAATAAAAAAAGTTGGTATTGAAAATCCGGACCTTGTTTACTTTGCTGAGTGGAGATTTCCAAGCCGATTTCACAATGGTGAGAGTCTTCTTTACCTTTGAGATTCAAGTTTCAGTACCTTAATTCCTGCCGACTCCCTGTAGTTGAAATGACGCCTCCTAGATAAGGGATAGTTATTGGTGCTTGCTGTTGGTTGGTTACCTGCATCACCTCCGTATTCTCTATGTCCACTTGAAGTCGTGTCTTTGCTTCCTGCCTCTTCTGCCAGTCCGTTGGTTTTCCCCCGTAAACATTCAAGTCTATATGAAATTAGACATGAATATCGTCCCCGAAATCCAGAAATTATGAAGCCTCCATATTGGTCCAGAGTATTCCTCTGTTCTTGCTCCCCACTCACAGTTTGCTGCATCATTCAGTCTATCACAATTGGGAATATGATCGGTGATAGTGTGCTGACAGCCTTGTCTTACTACAGTCTTCACTTGAAAGACTTCTTCTCTGAGTTATTCGTTGTGGATCACCTGACATTCGGTGTTGACACATAGCTGTGTTGAGTGAGGCTGGTAAAGATTTGAGTCACTGTACTGCACAGCATACTGTTCTGGTAGTTTTCAAATTACTTTGTGATCAACATTGTTCAACGTCTTTTCAAAGTCAACGAAATCGAGGTAGAAGTTTGACCGTCATCCAATGCTCTGCTCGATAATAATGCGTAGAGTTGCTATTTGTTGTGCAGATGATTTGCTTTCCTGAATCGTGAGTGTTTTGGAGGGAGGAGTTCTGCATCTAGTACATGGTTTATTCCCTCCAGGATGACGCGATTTAATGTTTTACTTGGCTTGGACAACAGCGTGTTTTGGCACTAGTTATTCAAGAGGCCTAATTTGGTCTTCTTTGGTAGTTTGACAACATATCGTTCTTTTCAACCAGTAGGTACTTCTCCTTCCTTTCTTCCAAACGTTTTACAAGAACTCGCCATCATAATATGTATAGATTCACTCTGTTGTTCTATCGTGTACTCTGTCTCTAGTCTATCCTTGATTTCAAGAGAAATCTAAATTCTTCGCCCTCCAGTCTAATTGTTTTACAAATAGTTACTCTCTTAACACTGAGTGGTTCGTCTACCTTCATTATTTTTGGAATTATGTTGCGTATACTTTCTATTGATAACCCTACTAGAGATTCAAGTTTGATTTCTAGGTAATGTACTTCCAAAAACCTCTCCTATTATACTCACTCACTGGTAGTAAATCCAGAGAAGATGGAGGGTTCGGTTATGAAGCTAACAATCCACTGCTTCTGAAACTTTCAAAAGTTGAAGCCATACATTTCATTCAAAGTGGAAACAAGTGTATTTCCTTCCTATCTGTTATTTTGATTTCATTTTATTTCTTTATACTCCAAGGGGAACAAAGGGCTTCAAGCTAGTGTTTTGAAGTTTTACCAGTATTTGTCTTATTTTTGCGCGTTTAGGTTGCTAGTCTCATTCCCAACCTTCGCTCTTTACTGACCATACTGCTGGCTTAGCTGAGGTGTAGGAGAGCGTCGGCTGGGGGATCGAACCCTGGACCTTTAGTGTGATTGGTAAGCATTCTATTGATGAAACACCAAATCTTGTATCTCCCTAATATTCATATTAGTTTGTTTATTAGATGTATCACACAGTCAGTGAAACAGTATTATTTACCAGATGACAAAGTTTCGAACACAATTTATGGTTCATAATCATTTCATCAATCATAATGACACGAAGTCGTGTGATGAATGTGTAACACATGTCCTAACCATCTCAAACGATGTAACTTTACATCCTCATCGATTGATTTTCCTTCCTTATTTAGCACTTGACGCCTGACCTCGATATTGCTCACCCTATTATACCACTTCACACAGGATATGGAACGCAGGCACCTATGATCGAAGAGAGGTAGCCAACGTTTTCATGTCTTCCACTCTCAATGGCCATGCATCTATCACAGCCATAAAGGTGGACGGAGCGGACCGTTGAGCAGTACACACGCCCTTTGCTCGATAGCCAGTCGGATATCACGTCTACTAAGCCAGAGACGGCATAAACTGGCATATGCTTAACGATCTTTTTGTATCCGTGCTGAGATTTAGTCAGCGATCAACCCACTGTCACTAACTGATGCAACTTTCCGAATAAGTGAAGTGGTCAACGTGCTCTACCACTTCACTCCTTATTTCTAAGCTTGGAGTCAATGTAGTCCAGTCCAGTCCAGTCCAGTTCTGTAGCATCATCTTACATTTGACAGGAGCGAATCGCATGCCAAACATTCGCAGATTGTAGCTCAAGGCGTTCAGAAGACTCTGCTGCATTTTGTCAGTCTTCACTAAGGAGGGAGGACTATATCATCTGTATATTCTAAGTCAAAGAGATTATTATTCCCTGGTAACAAGTCAATCCCTGGGTCGCTGAAGGCAGTTAGGGTAATTCCATTAGTACATCTTTGATGAAGTTGAACATATATATATGATGATATTAGATAGTTGGAGACAATCGGCAGGAAGCCTTGCACCTGGGTTTCACGCTAGTTGGCACTCGTCAGCAAGGCGTATCTGTTGAGGTATATATATATATATATATATAACAAAGTAGAATAGTATTGATGTTCTACTTGTCATGATTTTTAGCATCCAAGAATTTTTATTGTAGACTGCGTCATGAACCAATATCAATTAGACAATCATTAAAAACCACTGGACACTGCAAAACTGTTTTTCTTCTAGATTAGGACTCTTCAGTAGCACATCTCCAGGACCAGTCGGTTTCAAGACTAACCTCGTTGAGTATTCAGTGAATTGGGCTGGAATTCAATGGCTTGTGAATTCTAAATTTGTCAAAATTGCATAACTAACTGACTGATTGACTGATTTGTTGAGATGGTTAGGACATGTATTACGCATTCATCACAGGACTTGGTGTGATTATAATTGATGCAATGATAATGGACAATAGATAAATTGTGTTCGAAACTTTGTCATCCAGTAAATGATACTCTTTCTCTGACTGTGTAATACATCTAATAAACAAACTAATATGGAATTACTTACTACCACATTGCCCAAGTTTTACCCATATATTTGTATTAAATTATTTATAAGCATTAAATATTCGCAACAAAAAATTACACTGAAGATTGTTCACTGTGTATTTCAAGGAATGGAGTTATTAATGTTACTGCTTATTGAGATATAAGTAGATAGACAGGGAGATAGGGCTTGTTAGCTTAGGCGATTGACTTTCACACAATGAGTTCCGAGTTCAAATCCAACCCCGCCTCCTTCAGTCTTAACAAATAATTACTATCATCAGCCTTCACATAATCAATATGTCTTATAGTCTGGTAAATGAGAAATTTATTCAGGATACTCGAGCTCTGGATTCCACTGCTAATCACCATCCCCCCAATTAACCTCTAATTACATGCCCAGACATCGTCGAAGCATCTGCACAAGAAGCCGACAGACATGTCAACCTGAAACCGAGCACTTCTGTCCAATCAATTGACCGGGAAAATCTAAAATTCAATTAAATAATCAATATGACCCGTTGCACAAGAGGCGGTGGCTCTCGTGGCCCGAATGGTCTAGTGGATAACGCTTTGGCGTTTGAAACCATGGGCACTGGGTTCGAGACTCGGTGGGAACATCACCACTCACTCACTGAGGAATACAGGTACATCCGGTTGACGGGTCTCAAATAGGTCGAAATACGCGTTGTCCTGGATTCCACTGTTAGTCACTGTTCACCAATTAACTCGAGCTGTAACTTAGTAGCTGGGCAGCGGGGAATTTTCAGCATGGAGTACAGTATTGCAACTAATATTCTCATTACAAGGGTTGATAATTAAAACACGGCACATACGCTGATTATATTGTTCAGTGTGAATATGAATATACAATTAAATTAAGTGAAAATATCAACAATAAAGTAGCGAAAGTAAGCATAAAATCGGCTGTTTATTTAGTGTTTCTAAGTAAGCTATATTACTTAAACATTTCACCCAGATATCTGGAAATTTCTACTACCCCAACGACGACAAATAGGAGAGAACAAAGAAAACTATAAAACTCAAGTTTCGAAGTCGTGTGATTATAATTGATCAAATGATTATGAACAATAGATAAATTGTGTTCGAAACTGTGTCATCCAGTAAAAAGTAATACTGTTTCACTGACTGTGTGATACATCTGATAAACAAACTAATATGGAATTACTTACTACCACCACAGTGCTGCCCAAGTTTTACACATATATTTATTTTGTATCTCCTTCATATGTATATATATATATAATTATTGATTTTTTCTTCTCTTCTACCTATTTCACTTTTAGGTTGACAATGTATACAATTGTATGGAACATTTGAAGGCAAAAAATATTAGAACATTAACACCAGAACCAAGAATTGGTGCTGCAGGTGCTCCTGTCATCTTTTTACATCCAAAAGACACTTGTAGTGTATTAATTGAAATGGAACATGTTCCAGAAAACTCAGGTTCTCATTAGGTTCTCAGGCATTGTTATTATAACTTCCATTACTTCTATTACTCTATTACTACTAATACTGCCTATTTTAAAAAATACAATAATTTGTGTATTAAATGATAAAGTAATATATCCATTTTAATTGTTGAAACTATTATCTGTTTATATATAAATGTGATAATGAAATAAACTTGAAACTAAAGTAAAAGATAGAGTTTTTCCGATAACTGTATTATTATTATTAATCCTTTGGGTTCCTAGTGGAACAATGGGCTTCAACTGCACGTCTCCACTTTTTTCTGTCTTCTGCTGTACTTTCTCACCTGCATCCATGTTAGTCCATACTGTTTCAACTCTTCTTAACACGATTTCCTCCATGTCACCCTTCCACATCCCACTCGCCGCTTTCCTTTCGGGTTCCACTCAAGGGCCTGATGTGCGATGTCGGTGGCACAGTGGTTAGGACTCTCGCCGACCATGCACATGGTCCCGGGTCCGATCCCCTGCCGGCGCACACCCGATATCTATGGTCGGCCTGCAAAATTGGGCTACCGATATCACATGCTGAAAATTCCATACTTGTACCAAAAATACGGTGTGGAATCAAGCTATAATAAATAAAAATAAAAAATAAATGTCACGCAGCTGCCTTCTCAGCGAGTGTCCAATCCATCTCCACTTTCTCCTGCATATTTATTGGGCGATTGGTTCTTGTTTTGTTTGTTCCCATAGTTTATTGTTGGTGATTCATTCCGGCCATCTGATCTTCAGCATAGAGGGAAGAATATAGCTGTTGATAAAGGTCTGTGTAACCTGTTGGAAATATTCTTGTTGACCCACCAAGTTTCTGATCCATCCGTATAGAAGAAGTGACTTGAAGTTTGTATTGAAAATCCGAATTTTGTCGTTGATGCTGAGTGACGAAGATTTCCAGATTGGTTTCATGTTGATGAGTGTGTTTCTCGCCTTCCTGATTCTCGATTCGACATCCTCGTCGGTTCCTCCTGTATTTGAGACAATGCTCTCTAGATAAATGAATGAAGTAACCTCTTTCAAATCCAGGTCTTCTAGGTTCTTCACGTTGGTCTGGGATATCCCTGTCTTCTCGTTTCCCACTGTCTGGCGCATAATCCAATAACTGTGATGTACAATAAAATAGTTATTGGCGAGATACACTTTTGAATACATGAGTCAGCAAAAAAGAGATCCCCTCTTTTCATGAGTGAACTGCAAAACTGCACAGTTACCGACAACATTTATTCCCCTTTATGAATTTGAATAAAGCAAGAACAAGTGATTAGTGAATAATAATAAGTAAAAACACAGTTTTTTTGTTCAGCGAAGAAATTTCTTTTCAACGACTTCATTTTCAAGCCAACTGTACAGTCGTATTTATATTACAGAAAAGGTCATTAAGTGGCACTAAATAATTGCTCAGTCAATATACATATATGTGATAAGAATAACGATAATTAAAATGTTATAAGGGGTAGAGTTGAAGTGGATAAATTACAAAATTATTAAAGATTGTTTTATTAGTGAATTGAAATTCAAAATGTTTTAAAAATGTCAAGTGTTATCTAAAGACTTAAAAAAAATTAAGACTATGATTACGATAAGAATGAAGATGTGAAGTGAAGTGGAAAGAATTCAAGTGGTAAAATAAAATAAAGTAAAAACTAGAAAGAACATTACTATGACCAAGATAAAGAAAGGGGTTTGGCTAAACGTTTTTGAACACATAATTTAGGTTTCTGTTCATGTATAGCTAAAGCTTCGGCTATGCATAAGTGAAGAAAACGTAAACTTTTGGATTGATTCGATTTTGCCATGTAGATAACTTTGAAAGATGAATCACGTGGGGCTAAATGACCTGACTCTAACAGGTGATCACAAATAGACGACTTTGCAGTTCTACGTTCGCCTTTCATTAACCAGACTGGATAGTGTTCAGCTACACGTTTTCAGAGATTACGCTTACAACGTCCAATATAAACAGCTCCACAAGAGCAGGTAAAAGAGTAAATACACATGGATGTGGACAAAAGCAGTAATCTATCCTTGACGCATCGTTTAATCATATTTCGGCTGGTAAAAACTAGTTGCAAGTCAGGTGCAGGAAAAGTGCGTTTAATACATTTAGATAAACGATTTTTAATCAATTCCGAAATAGTGTCACCTTTGAATACCAGACTCATAAACAGTTTTTTCTTTGGCACTGTGATTTGTCTAGGGTCAGATTCTTTCTTGATGTCATTTTCAATGAAACTTGTAGGATAACCATCGTTAAGGAGATTTGATCGAAGGCTATCTAGTTCACTATCGATTGTCTCTGCAGAGCAGATTTTACGAATTCTGGAGCATAAGGAATGAAAAAGATTTCTCTTTCTCCCTAAAGGTACCCAACTGTTGAATTTAGTGTACTGCCCAGTGAATGATAATAATATTATTAATAATCCCTTGGGTTCCGAGTGGAACATACCCCTTCAACAACACATCTCCACTTCTATATTCTGCCATCCTCTTCAGCTGGGGCCCCACTTGCCCAAAGTCTCTCATCTTCTCCTCGCCACATGATCTCCTTCATGTCACCCTAGATAGCACTGACGACCCACTCGTCGCTTCCCATTTGGATTCCACTCGATGGCCTGGCGCTCGTTATGGTACCACTATTTATTTCGTCGGCTTCTTATCAGCTGCCTACAGTCTAAATAAATTATCGTTAAGTTCATGTACAGAAACAATTTTAACATACTTGAAAATTTTCCATAATTTCAGTTGACATGAGGTTATGGACTTAGTGAACAGTGCTCAGATAATTACACCTGTATAGTTTTTGCACAGGGTGTTCAAGTTTAAACAAACAAATAAATGTATTCATACAATAGTTAAGGAGTTACGTAATACAGACGAGAGATGGGTAAGATGACGAGTAACTAATAAATTGGATAAGAGTTTAGTGAGTTCAGCTCAGATCATAAAACAGAAACAAGCAAAGTTACACTATATTAAAAGAGGATGAGGTTAAAGCCAAAGACTACGTAATCGAATGAAAGACTTGATGAGGAGCCAACGAAATAAATGATGGTACCATATTATTCTTCAAAAACTGTACAGTTAGTTATTTAAGGAGTTTTTCATATACGCAGTGGAGATTGACAACACATGTTAGATAGTAACAAAGCAATAAATGTGCATGAGTAATAACTATCTTTGAAAAATTGAGAATGGTATTACGTAATCAAGAGAGTTGACAACTAATTACAGTTGAGTGATGAATATAATCACTTGGAAAGTGAGTGGAAATGGATTACAAGAGTAAGGTGGATAAGAGAGAGTTTAATATTGAATAATGAAGGAAGACAGAATTGACACTGAGGCGATGGTATTAGACGAGGCTGGATGAAACATTTTTGAATACAGAGATCAGGTGTTTCCTTATGGATTGGTAAGGCTTCGGGTGAATGAAGAAGATTTAGGCGAGATCTTTTTGAACGACTTGACGATATTTTAAATATGACTGACTGTGAAAGAAGTCTCTGTCGCTGTTGCATGACAAGAAGCAGTAACAGTATGTTCCAGAATTCAGCTGTTCCACGTTCCTCTTTTGACAAACATGCTCGTAAGTGTTCATGGATGCGTCTCGGCAATACCCTACTGGTACCGCCTATTTATTAAATGATAGTTACCAAAACATCGAAGACAAGTTAGCGCTGTTGGCGGTGTCAATGTCCATTCACCAAGAAAAGACCTAAATAATGAAATGAAACAGACAGAGGAAGAAGCGTTGGTGTCAAATAACTAACTATCCTATAAAATTCATTAGGAAGATGAGAAAAGATCGAGAGCAAAACAAAAATATATTGATAAAAGTAGTAGTGATAAGATAGATAAGAGAGAATATAAGGCATCAACAGCAGTTATACCATATAAGGAGGGGATATCTGAGACTCTCCCCATCTAGGATTCTTAATAAAGCAGGAATTAGAGTGGCATTTAAACCTACAATTTCACTCAAATAGTGACAAGCTCTGTAGGTTAAACGACCCTGTCGGTTGACCCAATTAGATAAAATAATATAATTTACAAAATTCCTTGCAATGACTGTGAGTTAGGTCAACTACATAGGTCAAACTAGTAGGTCACGGGTAGTCAGATTGCCTGTGAGAAGATGAGAATTTAGCTAAGGTTGAAATGGTTGACCCCACTCCGAGAAGATGAGTAATTTAGAAACAAGGTCAGAGATTGCACTGCATGCATGCAATAACACACAACCACACAATAGCATGGTAGGAAGGAGAGGGTTAAAATTCTAAAAAGTAATCTAGGTAGGTGGAGAGAGAGAGAGAGACAGGCTGATCAATGAATCCTGTCTGGTTCATCTAGTTTACACCCAACAAGTGCAATAGGATGCAATGACTCATCACTCATACCGGACATATGCAAAATCACTACTACTACTACCGATCAAGTCAAGCGATGAATTGAAATAATGGAATGGTGTACACGAAGTTAGAAAGTTGTGTCAGTGAGTAATCCTTGATATGATTATGAGCAGCAATAAATTGTGCTCGAAACGTGGTCATCAGTAAATATTTCTGTGTAATACTGTGAGACTTTATAAAAATATATTTTATTTATAATAAAATTGAGATAAATCTTTGAATAATCGGAGTTCATTTGAAAATTTCGTCTGATTATTTTCATGGAATTTTAAGTAATTTATTTATGTAGCAATTTACATGTCTGGCGAAGGAACACTTTTTTGTGTATGTGATATTTAACGGAGACGCTTTTGAGGTTTCCCGTTGTCGCATGTTGACATCGTTTCGAAGAATGTTTTACGCTGCATTTCTACTCGTCACCTTCCCCACACATCTTCTTTTTCACCAGAACGTTAAAGTCAAGATCCCCTTATTGGCAACTTCAGTGTGTACACATTGGACTTAGCAGCGGGATATTGCCGAGCTGATTATCACTTACTAGCATGTTTGTCAAAAGAAGAATGCAGGACAGTCAAC